CCCAGAAACATTAAATATTTTTAATCATGCAGAAAAGTAGTATCACATCTGTCTGCCTGGTCCACATCTGGATTTATGTGGCCTCTGAATATGACAGATGTTTGATAAATTGTCATTGACCATTTGACTGATTACCTGGCATTCTCCAGATTACCTGTGTAGAAAGAGGATAAATTAAGAGTACTGAGTTAGCACCGTGCTTTGACACTATAAGAAAGTGGAAAATGAAGCCATCAGGGAACTACATGGATAATTCAAGCTTGAAATCAGTGTTGCCCAAAATGTGACACAATGGAGGGAAGAATCTCCAGTATACATCAACATTAGGAAAAGAAAAAGCTCAATCTCTTTTAGCAAGTGAATTCTATTTAGAAGAAGACCTACTGCTAATGGGGTCATTTGATGAACCAAAGGCCAACTATAAAAACGAAATCTTTTGATCTCATTTGATTTCTGCGTAAGACTGAAATGGATTTCCTTTGGAGGCTGATGTTGCCCTGAATCTAGATGATGACAAAGTGATGAGTTTAAACAGCTAGGTAGATTCGCTGGGTTAAACAAAATTTGGCCAAACGAGAGGCCTGGTGTGGCGGCCATTTAGATAGTCTTCAGAGGTGGAAACTTGGCATCTCTGGTTTTGAGGATGAATATGGTATCTGTGTTCCAAGCTATGGGACACATGGGCTCCTGCTCAGGTGGAAGAGAGGAAGGAGTCAAAAGAATGAAATGCATGGTGCAAACACACACAAACAGAGCAGATTTGATAGTTGACATTGTTGAGAGGAGCACATTCTATTTTAAGGAAGGACTCTTACATTCTTCTCAAAATTTTCCAGAGTAAATTCATTGGGCTTGGGGAAATACTCAAGTCTGTGCATTCTTCCAATATTCAGAATAATGTTAGTTCCCTTTTTCACTGGGTAGCCATCAATCACATCGTCTTCCAAGGCTCTGCGCATGACCAAATCCACAGCAGGGTGGTACCGCAGGCTCTCGTAGATGAAGTTTTCCACCACTTTCAATTTTTGTATATCATTCATTTGTATGTCTCTCTCACCTGTGGGAACAGATAAGAAATATAGGAAGGTATGTTAGTTTAGTGTGTGGTGGGCATTAATGCTTCTATTTTTCTCTCCAGAACAATTTGCTCTTGGTCGAAAATATTATGTCTATAATTCTAATGCATATCACTCACCAAGTATATCGTGTTTGATTCATAGAGTGTTTATAAAGTTCAGAAATGAAGCCAATTATTGTAAAACCTTGGGAATTTTGCGGCACAGTTGAGGTTTCTTGGAAAAATCAGAAAACTTGGTAACACTGGCTCTGCATTCCCATATGGCAACAGTGAGCTGAAGGTGATGAGCCCATTGCCCCTTTAGAGGGGGCTGAGCCTCAACAGTTCCATGTAGACCTCGCTCAGCTTTTCTCACACATTCATCTTATCTGCATGGCCTCATAAGTCTTTCGTGTTTCTCCCAACTCTAACTTCTAGGGAACATTTTGTCTCTTGATTTGTGAGCAACCTAACACTACAACCATCCCACAGCAGGGTGCACAGGCTGCTGCATAGTCAAACTGAGACAGTGGATTTCATCTATTTCAACATTTGCTCTCCATTATCTGTGCTGTTGCCTGTCCACATGTCACTGATAATCCCTCCCTCTCTCATCAAGAGCAACTTGTCACAACGGAGTAGCAAGAACTCCCTTATCCTCACCCCAACAAAACAGGTACCCCATATCGGCCCTGGATGGACTAGGAATTGATGTGGAGCCCCAATGCCTCAGCCTGCCATTAGTCAAAGAGACTGGAATATGTGCCAAATGTGGCAAATCTTCAGAGCATCCTCAAATGGGCCACCACTTTGGAAGATGAAAAACCAGCCCAGAAATCTGAGTCAGCCATTTCCCCTCACTATGCCATCTAGAAAGGGATGAGAATGCTAACCAAAAATAGGAGCTCTGTCCTTCATGTTCTGCTCTTTGTCCCCAAAGATCTAATGAGGTATATATAACTGAAGTGAGGAGGGAGAAGAGAAGATCATGGGGAAGGTGACCAAAGGCATTCACTGGGAAGCAATGACCTCGTCTGTGTACAGAGCACAGGAAGGAGCACAGGCACATGTGCAAAAGGCTCAGCTGCTTCCCCATCTTTTCAGAGATCTGTTGAAGAACCAGGATAACATCAACAACCACAAACACTTTTCACCTCTTGAGAAAATTCTATCAAACTTGTTTTAAAATCTTATGATTACAAAATCAATTTCTCCCCTGTCCGGAACTCCATCCTTCCATGGTGCCCTCTCTTTTCACTCCCTTGATATTTCTCTCACTAGCCTATATGTCCTGCAGGTACATGGAAGGTACTGGCTGGTTCTCTGCCACTGCACTTGGTATCGAACATGGTAATCTGATAGGAGGCGTTTGATAAAACCTTGTGGAATTTGGGGCCCCTATGTTACTCTGGCTCCTTGCTCTCTGCCTTTCCAGGCAGTTTCCCACCTATGAGATGCATCTGAGATCCCTACCTTCACATATTTAACCCTTTGATGAAATGTCTCCCAAGAGACAAGTATTTCAAGTAGCACTCAAATGATTTTGAAAAGCTGAACCCTTCCACAACCAAATAACTTGTTTCACAAGGACTGTGTAAAGTCAAGAGAAAAAAATCTGCATTATGTGATGTAGAATTGTGTTCCTAAGCGTGAAAGAAATTCCAAATATGGACTTTTATGTTCTTCCAGAAAGCAATTCGTTTCCTGTGACAGGGACAGTGTTCCTGTGGAAGAGGTGGGGAAGGATGATGCTGACAAGGAAGCAGAGCAGTGAAAAGGGAGCTGGGGAAGAACTGAGTGAGGACGTGGTGGCTTCTTCAGAGGAGGAGGAAAGGACGGGTGAGAAAAGGCCAGCATCACTGGATTGGAGTGAAGAAGGGAACTCATCATTCCCTTGTGTGCTCTGTTGCCCTCTCCTTCTTCTCTTGCCACCAGCTGGAAGTTCATTTGTGATTGGGCTTCAGGTGACCCAGACACACTGCCTAAATGACAGCCATTTTCCTGGATATGTAACGGAGGAGGTAGCAGAACACTGCACGTGTACCCATGCTCTCGTAAGACTGACACAGTAGCCATATGCGTGTGTTCATGTACACGTAGAAAAGGATCTTGAAGAATACACAGCAAACAATTAACAGTGGTTGCCTCTCCAGTGGGGCTGGAGAGGAGGTGTAGAGCGAGGATTGGGAATCATCTTCCCCTTTATACATCTCTCTGTTAGTTGAATTTTCCAATGAGCAAGTATTATTTTTATAACTTAAGCAACTCAGAAAGAACTATCTTTTCAATCTATGTGGCATAGTCAAAGTGCCTGAACTACTTGCTTCATTTTTCTCCAAGTGGAGTATAAAAGATTCTGTGTTTGACATCAGATTCTTATTACATGAGAAGCTGGCATTCAGAAGGAATTATTTATTTAAGTTCTATTGTTTATTTGATCAATTCTTACCAACAACAGTCTGGATTTCCTTCATTATTTCTTCCTCAACATTAGGGTGCTTTGCAATGAGAGAGAGCATGAAGTACACTGTGACAGACATGGTGTCAGGGGCCGCTATCAGCATTTCCAATATACATTGGTTCACGTTCTCTTTTGTTAGTTCTCCACGTTTCTGAACAATTTGAAACAGGAAAAGTGAATCAAAGTTCCAAAAAACATGAAGACAGTTGATATTCAAGGATGGGCAACCTCAACAAAATGAATCACAAGTCTATAATTTATTTTGAACATTTTACATGACAATCTTCAGCTCAAAGGTGAACAGTTTCATCAACATCTATGCACAGTTGGCTCTCCATGTCCTCAGGGTTCCCATCCATGGAGTCAATTAACTGGATATATATATATATCCACACACATATGTATACATATATTTATATATTAAATATAATTGTATACATATTGAACATATACAGACTGTTTTCCTTGTGAGTATTCCCTACACAGTACAGTATAACAACTATTTCTGCAGTATCTATATTGTGTTAGATGTTATGAAGAATCTCAGGGTGATTTAAAGTACCCAGAAGGATATACGTAGGTTATGTGCAAACGCTGTCATTTTACATAAGGAATTTCAGCACCCTGAATTTTGATATCTGGGTGGGGTTCGGGAACCAAACACAGATGGATATGGAGGGATGACTTTATATAGTGTCTTTGGTCACACGCTTCCTTTTTCACATTTTGTACTACAATACAGAACACGTTCAATCTAAAGGTCAATCGTACTAGAATGTCTAACGTGAGGCTCTCTGAATGACCTATAATATGACTGCTAGGCAAAATACTGAAAGGAAGAAGTATGCAACAGTTATGATAAAGGGTCCTTTCCCACCTACACACAAACAGTCATAATGTATGTTGAGTGTGGAATTATGGTTAGTCTAGGTCAGTACCTCAGCAAAAATCAAGTCAGTGGCAAAGTCCATACAGTCTTCCAGTTTCTCTGCCATGGAAACCTGGTGTCTTTTTTCTTCTACCAAAACATCTATGGCATCTTTCAAATCCTTGCTGTAAAAACAGTCAAAATGTAATCTACTTGTACTCATTAGCAAAACATTCATTTGCTGTTTGTTTAAACAAAATGACCTGCTTTAATTGAAGCCATTGATGGTTCTCAAAAGTACATGAATTTATATTTTACTTCTTCACAAATATCCTTAAATTTCACCTAATTATATTTCATGTTGAGGTACAAGACTTAGCTACAATTCCCAGACACTGATAGCAAAATCAAAGCTGTGACTTTATAGTAAAGGATTAAAAATGATACCAAAGCCTAAATCCATGTTTACAACTCCTGTTTTGGAAGGCACAGTGTTTCAGTTAACAACCCTGTAGTTGCCTACTGCGTATGCACTCTTCAGTGTGCCACAAGGGCCTCCATTTCATATTTTCTTATACACACAGCCCAGTTTTATTTGCCTGGCCCTGAAGACTATTGAGTTTGAGATTCCTGTTCTAGACAGTAAATTCAAGTGACTAAATAGCATTCTCCATACTTATTCCCATATCTTGTGATTTCAACCAGTCTGTAAACACCAGGTAAAGATTTTTGAATAGATGGTGACAAGCTGCATAAGTATGTGCATACATTTGACACTGTGGTTAAGGAAAAGCCTCTTGGACAAATGGTGACATTCCAGCCCAGGTGGTTCTCTTCAGTGTAACCTAGAACCTGTGGAACCTATTAACTTTATGTCACTGAGGCTTGCATCTCTTTTTGTACTGAGAAGATCAGTCTAGACAATAATTAAGGTCACACTGAGATCTACATTCTATTATTCTTGTATGGTCATTAAGTTAAAATATCACACATTTTGTTATATTCATTGTATTCATTCTGAAAAGATTCTTTTGGGAGAACTATCAGTTCTTTGAGTTGATGTTAAATTCGCTGAGAAGCAACACAGCTATAAAATGATTCTGTTTCCATTTTTCTAGACATGCAAAGAGAGTTCTAACAGGTATGAATGTTCGGATTAACCAACCCTTCTGTTCAATTCAAAATTATTGAATGTCCTTGTTAGAGATTGGCTCTCAAGCCACATATAGCCCCTAACTGAGAAGCTGCCCAGTCAAAGGGTTCTTTTATTCTTTGGTCTTGCCAGAAACAGTCAATCTGCTGTAAATGTTTTCATAAGCAACTTAATCAACAGATCTCCGGGACTCTGGAGAGAAGAAAAAGAGACCAAGAAAGGCAAAAAGTCTCAAACAAGATTGTGATTGCACTCACAAATCTTCCAAGTATGTGCTACTTACACAGACTTTTCATACTTTTTGTACAGCCAAGAAATCTTAAAGAAGATGTTGGGTTTTAGAAGGAGAGCTTGCCATGCATCAAAATAACCTCGGATTTTATTCACAATGGCACTTTCTGGAAAACAAAAATGATAGGTGAAGTTTTTACCTTCAGGGAGCTTACACTGCACTGGGAATTATGGACACAAAACAACTGAATATCAGGTAATATCTTAGGCAATAGTGTCTTAATGTAAAATCAAAGCAGGGCAAGGGGACAGAAGGGAGAAGCAATGGGAGTAGGCACAGCCACTGTGGAGCGGGTGGGCAGGAGAGGCCTCTGTGGAGAGCACATTGAGGTCCATTTGGGCCTAAATGAAGTGAAGCCATGAGCAACACATGGATCTGAAGGCAGAACAATACTTGTAAGGGCCTACCCAAACCAACGGGACTGGAGCACATGCTGACTGATTTCCACATTTGGACCACTGGACAACTTATAAGCCCCCTCATTCTCCTCCCCAGCTCCCATCGCCTCCCTACTCTAACAGGTCTTTAGAAGACTTGTAGAAACATCTGTTTATAGATGTTCTTGCTTCCTCACCTGTATGGTTAGGAAGGATCATATCCATGGAATTGTCACTCTCTCTCTCTATGTGTGGATCCAGAAGTGATGACACTGAGCTTGTGTAACTCATATGGGGTTGTTTATTTCCCTTTACACTGGGTACTTGTCAGACTCAACTTGCTTACGACACCCAGTGCAACAAAGAAGAAAGACATTGCCCTGAGATCAGGCAAAACCAGGCTCCGGTTGGTATTAGTCAGGTGTATTAATTTCTATGAATTGCAGTTTCTTTATCTGCAGAATGATGGCACTACCACTCCCCAGGCTAGTCAGTAACGATGAAATACAAAATCTTTGTATAGCACCTGGCATGGTGGCTGGATTTGGCAGTTGAAATAAATGCTTATTCCCGTCTCATTTGTGCAAAAGGCCAGGGATTTCTTATCTCTAGTATTCAATTAAAATAAAGGAGATTCATTTATTACTGATTTTGCTTAAGGCTCAGACATTGAAGAAACTAATATGAACTGTATGCTCTGGATCAAATATTTTAAAAGTATGAAAGCTATGTGATGAGTTCTATGGTCCTGGGAGTCTTATGAGTCCTGTGTGCTCACTATGAAGTGAGAATATAAAGAAGAGCGGTTAACTGGGTTTATAAGCCAATAGGCTGTCCTCTTAATGGCTCTGTCACTCAATACCAAGTAGGGATAAAATGTGACTGTTAGCTTTCCAACAGGCTAGGCTTTTTGCTCTCGGAGTTACGGAAGTCAAGGCCCTAACAGCCATCACTACTGGTCCGCTTGTCCAGGAGAGAGCTGGGGGCTCAGGGAAAAAGGAATATGTGAGACTTTAGGCTGTGTCTCAAACAGAATCTTGAAAGAGGCAACTCTTTGACTAACTCTTCCGATCAGATATAAGGCAAAACATTATCAGTACTCAATTTGCTGAGTAGTGTTCATGTGGCTAAATCACCCACTGGTGATGACACATTGCTCAGATAGGATCTCCAGACTGGGAGGAGAATGTACAGGGAATATTCTCTGCTCAGAGTCCTCTTCTTAGGCCCACATTTCTTCAATAGCTTTGTTCTTGTTCAAGGGCTCCCTGAACCTAGAACAGTGCCCAGCATAATATAGACAATCAGTGATATTTATTGAATGAATGTATGAAATCAATGAGTGTTCTCATAAATTAACTCAGGAAAATCATAATAAGCTGGATATATTTAAGATCAACAGCAAGAAGGAATCAATCCAAATTATCATTTTGCTTATTGGTGGTGGTAGAGGTGTGTGCATACATTTTGTTATTCATTTCTGTAACATAAGAGGGTGAGACACCCTGTCAGGTTGTTTTAAATATTAAATGGCAAATATGTGTGTAAAGCAACTTTCATATTGTTTGGCACATAGTAGACATTAAATTAATGGCAATTGTCTCCATAATTTCTGTTTTCATCACCAGCAATCCCATTACCACCACTGTACCACTTTTATCATACAGATAGAAGCAAGTTTTCAAATTCAGTAACTTTGAGGGAAGAGTGTGTGTGCATCTACATATATGTGTATATGTGTGTTATGTGTATACATATCTACATCCATATTCATGTCCAGATCTATGTCTATATTTATGTATTAGACATATATTTATATACATACATATATATTTATAAATATAAATATGTATAATATACATATATTCATATATGATATATAATCTATATAAATATATTAATATATAGTATATAAATATATACATATATATATATATAAAATGCCAAAAGGATGGTTAGAAATGCTTAAACATGTCGGTTCCATTGGTGGCAGGATATCATAAACATCAAATGCATGATGATAACTTTTGATTGGGGTAGAATCCTATTTCCTAAAGCAAGAGGAGAGATACAAAAGAAATAGAAAGCGCCCCCTATTTGAAAGTGAACAGGGCAGAAACACTAGAGAGCAAACTCAGCAATGCATAAGCAAGAGCAATGTGCGAAGCAGCCTGTGTTTGCTTTACTCTGCCGTCCCTCTCCTCCCCTCGTTCCACACAGGGCCGAATGTGAGGCACAGGAAGAGTTTCCTCACCATCCAAGGGGATTCCCAAGAAGACCACGTTGGAGGTGTCCAGCATGATGCGTCGCATGAGGGTCAGCACGTCCACATAGCCCAGGGCACTGGTGACCTCGTCCAGCTTGTCCAGATGCCTGAGGATGGATTCCGCACAAACCGCCACCATGCGAACAAGGCCAGGGCCCGTCAAAGCTGAAGGGACACATCAGAGAATCGGCCAACACACTCCAGGATACTCAGGTTATTTTGGCTTTTAGGTCTGGAACTTAACTGTCCATGGTTTGTCTTCAGTCATAGGGTGGAAATTTTCATATTCCTCTTTACACTTTTCTGTTGTCTACAAGCATGCACTTACTTTATGCTTGAAAATGAATGAACATTATTTTAAACTATTGAAATGTAAACTTTCCTTCATGCTCTGGCAAATCATTTGTGACACTGCAAGTGAAACATTTAGTATTTGTGGTCATAGTTACAAATCAGCGAGTTTTCATGTGTACTATCTGCATTTTCCTTTAAAGATGGTTTGGATTTGGCCAGGGTTGAATTTATTTTGTGTTTCAGCAGGTGGCAGAATATTGCTAGAGATAGTGAAATTGGTCCTTAATCATACCACCTGAGATGCTTCCTGTTTAACTGAAGTTTATAGATGTAATATGCTAGTTTTGCAAGTCACCCAAAGTGCCCTTCTCTTCATTTCAATCTCTTTTCAAATTGCTTCCAGATTTATGTGCTTATTCATTGTGGTAATGGGGCTTGACCTCAGAGCCTCATGCATGCTAAGCAAGCTCTAGCCTTGCCCCCACTCCTACTTCTAGATTTATTTTACTCAACCTGTGACATGCTAAGAAATTCCTTGTTAGCTTTCAGTGTTCTCCATAGAACTGGGAACTCTTTAAGGACAGACAACAACTTATTGTACTTCAGGTCAGTAGTACGTGGGACCTCTGTATACGTATTTATATCTAGGATTAAATGAATGAATGTAAACAGGTAGAGGGAACTGGCTCTGACCTCCCCTTGCTCTGCACTTGACCATCAGGGCAGAGACTAGTGGGTCCTTATGGTCCATTTTAAGAGTTTAACTCTTAAAGTCCCCCTTTCCCTCTTTGGTAATAAGTTTATTTAAGCTTCCTTTAAGAATTATCCCTCTTTTTATATCTTGTACTATTGACAATTGCTTTTAGAGTCCTTGAAATGAGATGGAAATCCTGGGGAATGTGGTAGACATAACTTCAGTGGACCACCATAACTCAAGAAGAAAACTAATCAATGAAGAATCCCACGCCTGAAGGCAGACATCACAAAAAAGAAAGGAGTCCTGAACACTGCTTTAGACCATGAAAAGCTTCATATGCATAAAAAACAAGGTAGGGGTAAGAAGGACCCGGCAGACACCAAAGGCCAGGATGTCATTCTCTGGTACTAATCATTTCCACGATTGGGGCAAGTCATTCCTTACTGATTCAAATGTTTGTGTGGACAGGTTGGGTTCTTCCAAGTTAATGTGTGACTTGCCTCTGTGACCAAATGCTTGAAGCCACATTTCTCACTTACACACAAAATATGATATAACTCATTGCTTATGATACAGATATGATTTAATTTTTTAATGTGCTGAAAAGTACTCAGTCTATTTAGGTCAAAAGCAAATTGAGCACATAATCAGATTCCATCAACATAGACAACTGTCTTGGCAGTTACAGGAAATAAGTATTATTTACGCACCTCAAACCATCTCCCAGAATGAGCCATTTCCTAAGTGGTGTTTAACTGTTTTTTCTATAGATACCTAGAAATTTAATACTTTCACTTATACTGCTGATTAGATAACAAAATCTGTCTCAAACTTTCTACTATAGCAGTAGAATCAACAATGAATCTAATTCAATAGAAGGTTCCTCAAGAAAGGCTTCAGATTCTAATTGGTTATCAACATTTTTAGGCACCACAGAGAGCTTCTCAATAAGGAATTAGTTTCCTGTTTTGGGCATTATTTGGGTCCAGTTCTGTAGCATTTTCATTAGAAAATATGACCTTGAATACCAAATAATACTCTAAACATTCACAAAGATACCTTGACTAATTTCTAAGTGCTGTAACTTCTACTCTTAACATTCCATGGACCTGTGTCCTCCCCTCCATCCACCGTGTCACTGCAGTGACTCCTGTTTTTATTGTTCATAGTTGTAGTTCCTTCCACTTAGCCATTGATTCTGCTACAAGAGGGTTTTTCAAAGACATAAATATGTTCAAATGATTTTGTTCAAAATCTTTAGTTATTCTGTGTAGCTCTTGAGATAAGATCAACTATTTTGCTTAGGAGAAGGGTTTTTGGTGATCTTACTCTGCTCTTCCCTTCCTGTGTCCGTGTTGGACACAAGGGACAACTGACAGATCCCTGAACATGTTGATCTTTCCTGCTCTGCTTTTGAATATATTAATCTTTACTCCCATAGAGTCTCTTTGTCACACTTTCTTCATTATGTTGACTTTATTTTTTACATCTTTCAAAGTCCATAATAAGAATCCACTCCTCTGAAAAATCTCTCCTGACCCCTTGGTGACTTATCATGGCGGATGTGTCTGTGCTCTACAGCTCTGTGCATGCCTCTCCCATTACCATCGTCACCTAGGCAGTATTTGGTGAGGTGCTGATCTGCCACTTCCCACCTTGCTCGGTCACTGCATCACCTGATTCTCAGGGGCAGGGACCATGCCTATTTGACATTGTATGCTTGACACCTAGTTCAATGATGAAGACAGTAGCTTGTTCACAAATTGTTTAGAGATTACAACTCTTAAATGTCAGAGTAGAAGATATAGAAAGAATAGGTCTTCCATCTTTTTATTTGTTTGTTTGTTTGTTGGTGCTGGATATTGAAGCCTGGGCCTTGTATGAGCTAGGTAAGTCCTCTACCACTAAACTACATCCTTAGCCGAAGTTAGAGGATATTGGTATGTGAAAGTTAACTACCCCTACATACCAAATTACCTGTTGACATGTTCCTAACAAACCTAGGTCAAATGACATAGTAAAATGCAATTTATATTTCTATGGGATCTTAGATCATTTTTTCATTTGTTCTTCACTGTAACTCCGTAATGTTGATCAACTTCTGTTGATAAGAGAGCTGAAGTGTCAAGATGCTAAGTGACCTGTCCATGGTCCTACAGCTACTTCGTGGCAGCACTGGATTTGAACCTGCATCCTGTAACTTTAAGCCCTGTACTTTGTTCATTAATCCATTCTACAGTTTTAGAGAGCACAAGGAGATTGACCTGCCCCAACATGAGTGGTAGGCATAAAAATTGCTCTTCTATGTTCAGACGTCCTAATCCCCAGAACTCATCACTATGTTGCATGGCAAAAAGAAGTTGGCAGGTATGGTTCAAATGAAGGATCTGGAGAGGATGAGGTTATTGTGGTTGTCATGGTGGATCCAAACTTTCAAGGAAAGTGAAAAAAATTTCTAGCTGTAGTCAAAGTCAGGGAAAGACATGATGACAGAAGGTGTGTCAGAGGATGTGAAGTGAAGGCCTGGACTCCTGCCACCAGCCAAGGATGATGGTGGCCCTAGAATCCGGAAAGGCAAGGACAAATGTTCTCCCCTAGAGCCTCCAGAGGCAGCCTTGTCAACACCTGCATGGTGGCACATTGAGACCTGAGTCAGACTTTTGACCTCCAGAACTGTAAGATAACAAATGTGCCATTTTAATTGTTTAGTTTGTGACAATGTTACAGCAGCCATAGGGAAGGAATACAGTGGAGTCTACAACTTAGTGCTGCTGGGTCTTTGTTGTAGGAAGCTCTGTTGGCAGGGTGGGCTAAATGCTGGGTGGACACAGGCAGAGGTCTGGCTTCTCACCATCTTAGCACACACAGGAGGGCATCTAGGTTGGCTGCTTGGCTGGTGCAGTGACTCTTGTGGTAGAGTGCCTGCCTGGGTTGGCTACAGAGGTTGCACAGGGTTAGACCAAAAGCTCACCTAGCTCCAGACGCCATCACTGCCCAGACACAATTATCTTTCTTCATGTGCATTTCTCAATAGCTTTGCTTTGACATGACCTAGCACAGGAGGGCCCACTGGATATGGACATCCAGAATTGGGTTTCTGCTCAACCATTACCTGCTGTGCCATTTGGGTGAAAATCATAACCTCTCTAGGACTGATTCTTCAACTCTAAAACTCAGAGCCTGGAAGAGGGAATGTATATGATCCCTCTCTATCCTAAAATTCTCTGATTTTATTCACAAGTTGTTTTCTCCTAAAATATCTGGTGATTCAGCAAGTGCATTGTTTGGTCATGTTTAAATTAAAAATATCCTTGACACATGAAATTCACACTTGAGATGACCCTGAGTAGACAGGTGCATCTCCTTCTCATGTTCAAGAAATTGCTTCATGAATCAACAGTAAGAAAAAGATGTGTGGAAGCTACAAATATAGGCTCTAGATTTGTGTCCTGGAGCTACCATCTACTAATTCTGGAACTTGGGGCATGTTTCTTGACCTTTTCACATCTTAGTTTTCTCACCTGTAAAATGCAGGTGATAAGCATATTCACCACATGAAATTGCTGTGGGATTAAAATATCAAGTGCTAAGAACCATGTCTGATGTACAGGAAAGGTATAAAAATGCTAGTCCTTATCTTTATTTCAAAACTATGAAGCTATAAATCAGCACATTTAAAATATGGTTTCCATAGACCACAGAGAAGAATGTAGCCAGGTTCCTTATTACCTTTCATAAAGAAAAGCCGAACTTCTTTCCAGAGGTCTGGATTATTGTTAAATATGATGCCTTTCTCATGCATACCAATACACTGCAAGCCAAGTTTGCTGCCAAATCGGGAGATGTATTTATTGTGCTTCATTACATGGAACATACTTGAGGACCTGAAAAGAAAGCACACCTTCGTGTTAATCCACCATTGAGAAAGTCACAGTGATGCATTTTGAGTGTGAGATGGCTCTCAGCAAATGATGTTGATCAAAATGCATGGTTTCTATTATTCAGGTTGAATAAGCACATCTGTTAGTAGTAGAATATCTTTACAACTGAATTATTTCTACCTACTTAATCATTGTTTGAGGATCACAAAGGTAGAAAACACCCATCATTCCTATTTCTCTTTCTTCACTAAACCCAAGTCACCAACATATTATCTACCATTGGAGTCAGAGGTCCAAGAATGCCATAAAACAGATTCTTCCACACCAGCAGTCATGAGAACCCAGCATCCCAGGTGCCATCTAGCCCTTTCCAGACAGTGCCACTGTGTGCAAGAGTAAGTCACAGAATTGGAATCTGCTGGACTATTGAAGTCTTGCTTTGTTAGTTTGGAACCAGTATTTTCTTTCTAGTACCACCCATTCCCCAGGCCTTATGTGGGATGTCATTAACTTATTTCTGTGCACACTTTTGTCTCTGGGCTTGACCAGGGCCTTCATGGGCTGGCGTGGAAGGTCCATTGTGGTGGTAAGAGAAATTGTTTCTGGTCTCAGCATTCATGATGACTTCTCAAGGTCTCCAGGGTCACAGAGTTTTTCCATGATATAATGTGAGAGCCATTAGATAGTGCAATTTGTACCATGCTCAATAGGGCAAATTCAAGATATATAAAATGGTATTGGCATTTATTATCTTTATTTCAGTTGTTGATCTTACTTTTTGATTGTTTTGCCTATTTTATTATAAAGTTTTTATTAGGATATATTCATTATAAGGGAAGGGAATTTGTAGTGACAATTATGATTAGACTTATAGTGTACATTATTTAAATTGCCCACACTGTCTTTCCCCCTCAGCCCTTTCCTCTTCCACTTGAAGCAATTGCAAGAGTTTTTTTTAGTTCTGTTTCATATGGGTATTGAAGTCTATCAACCATATACCATCAACTTGATCTACTTCTTTCACCCTCCTCCTCCCACTAGTAACACCCACCACCCCCGCAAACCCTGTGCCTATTTTGCAATCATGGTTTTTGTTATTAGTATTTAAGTTGATGTTCAAAAGGCTGTCTCATTGTATGCCTACTGTGGGTGTGCTTTACTTTGGTCTGTTCCATCCCTCGAATACTCTCCCTTACCCCTTTATCTCCCACCCCCCCATTTTCAACAGTTTTTAATATACATGCTTATATCCTCTACCTTCACATCTTATGGTATATGATATCATATGAAACTGATGGTTTATCATTCTCTTTTCCTTTCCTTCTTACCCTGAATTCCATAGAGTAGTCTCACTGTTACAAACCTGTTCTACATCTCAGTTTGTATATGATCACCTTTGTTTTTGTGTAAGTGTTTATCTTTGGCTCTGTCTTTCACATATGTGACTTTTGATTTTCTGATCCTAGCTAACTTCACTTATCATGATGTCCTCCAATTGCATCCACTTACCTTCAAACCACGTGTCATTATTCCTCATGACTGTGTCAACATTCCTCATGTTGTGTATGACGGTTCCTGTGGAGAAACAGGAACCGTCATACACAACAACAGTGTATGACGGTTCCTGTTTCTCCACATCCTCACCAGCATTTGTTGTTGTTATTGCCCTTCGTTTATGGCAATCCTAATGGGGTGAGATGAAATCTAAGTGTTATTTTGATTTGCATCTCTTTTATACCCAAGGAAGTTGAACAGTTCTTCATATATTTACTGGCCATTTGTACCTCTTCCTTTGTGAATTTCCTATGTAAATCATGTGCCCATTTTTCCATTGGGGTGTTGATCATTTTGGGTTTGAGCTGTTTTGAGTTCCCTATAGAGTCTATATATTAGTCCCTTTTCAGATGAGTAGCTGGCAAAGATTTTTTCCCATTCTGTGGGCTGTCTCTTGAGTCTAGTGACTATTACCTTTTCTGTGCATAAGCTCTTTAGTTTGATGCAGTCCCATTTGTTCATTGTTTCTCCTAGATGCTGAACCTTTTCTTGAGTTCTATTTAGGAAGTCATTACCTATACCTGTCTAATCCAGTGTATTTTCTACTGCTTTCTGGAGTTGTTTCAATGTTTCAGGCCTTATATTATGGTCTTTGATCCACTTTGAGTTGATTTTGGTACAGGGTGAAAGACAGGGTTCTAGTTTCAGTCTTCTACATGTGGATATCCAGTTTTCCCAGCAGCATTTGTTGAAGAGGCTGTCTTTTCTTCATCATGTGTTTTGGGCTCCTTTGTTGAGATCATTTGGCTGTAGCTATATGGGTTTATATCTGGGTCTTTTGTTCTTATCCATTGGTCTTCCTGTCTGTCTTGGTGTTAGCACCATGCTGTTTTTATTGTTGTGGCTCTGTAGTATAGTTTGAAGTCAGGTATTGTGATGCCTCCAGCATTGGAGGTTTGTTCAGAATTGCTTTGGCTTTTTGAGGTCTTTTGTGTTTCCATATGTATTTTAAGATTGACTTTTCTATTTCTGTGCAGAATGTCCTTGAAATATGATAGGGATTGTGTTGAGCATGTAGATTGCTGTTGGTAGAAAATGGCTGTTGGCCATTTTCACAATGTTGATTCTATCAAAGTAAAAGCATGGAAATTCTTTCCATCTTTGGCACCTTCTTTGATTTCTCTCTGCAGTGGTTTATAGTTCTCATTAAAAAGGTCTTTGGTTTCTTTTGTTAAATTTATTCCAAGGTAGTTTATTATTTTTGAGGTTATTGTAAATTGGAGTGTTTCCCTGATTTCCTTCTTTGTCTGTGTGTTGGTGGTATATAGAAAAGGTACTGATTTCCGTATGTTAATTTTGTATCCTGCTACTTTGCTACAAGAATTTGTGAATTCTAGTAGTGTTTTCGTAGACTTTTTAGGGTCTCTTGGGTTTGGGATTCTGTCTTCTGCAAATAGGGATAGTTTGATCTACCTTTCCTATTTGGATCCCTTTTATTTATTCTTCTGGCTAGAAATTCCAAAACTATATTGAATGAGAGTGGAGAGAGTGTCTTCTTCATGACGTTAGTGGAAATGGTTTCAGTTTTTCTCCACTTAGTATAATGTTGGCTACAGAGTTGTCATATATAGCATTTATTATGTTAAGGAACATTAGTTCTGTTCTCCTTTTCTTTAGATCTTTTATCATGAAAGGGTGTTGGATATTGTCAAAGGCCTTTTCTCTGTCTATTGAGAGGATCATGTGCTTTTTGTCATTGCTTTTGTTTATGGATTTACATGTGTTCAACCATCCTTACATCCCTAGAAAGAAACTGACATCGTCATGGTGTGTGATCTTTTTTTTGTTGTTGTTGAAGTCTGTTTGCCAGTATTTTGTTGAGATTCTTTCAACCAATGTTCCTTAAAGATTTGATCTATAATTGGCTTTTCTGGTTATATCTTTATTGGTTTCAGAATGAGTGTAATGCTGGTTTCATAGAATTGAGTTTGGTAGTGTTCCTTCCCTTTCTATTTCCTGGAAACTTTGAGGAGTATCAATGTTAGCTCTTCTTTAAAGGTTTGATAAAATTCAACTCTGAATCCATTAGGTTCTTGGCTCTTCTTTTTTGGGAAACTCTTTATTAGTGTTTCAATTTCATTGCATTCATAGGACTATTTAGGTCCTATTTAGCTGGTTAATATCTTCTTGGTTCAATTATGGTTGGTTTTTTGCATCTAGGAATTTATCCATTTCATCTAGATTTTCCTGTTCACTTGAATATAAGTTTTAAAAGTACTGTCTAATGACTCTCTGAATCTCATTGGTATTTGTGGTTTTGTCCCCTTTTTGATCTCTTATTTTATTAATTTGGGTCTTCTCTCTCCTCTGTTTTGTAATATGGGCTAAGGGTTTGTCGATCTTGTTAATCTTCTCAAAGAACCAAGTTTTTTGTTTCATTGATTCTTTGTATAGTTTGTTTGGTTTTGATCTGATTGATCTGGACCCTGATATTTATGATTTCTCTTTGTATGCTGGTTTGGTTTCTTCTTGTTGTTCTAGGAGCTTAAGGTGCATCATTAGATTGTTTATCTGAGAGGTCTTTTTTTTTTAATGTAGGCACTTAAAGTTATACATATTTCCCTTAACATGGCCTTTGCTGTGTCCTGCAAATTCTGGTAAGTTGCATTTTCATTATCATTGGATTCTAGGAAGTTTTTGATTTCTTCCCTTATTATTTCAGTCACCATCGGTTTTTCAGCAGTGTGTTGTTCAGTCTCCATGTGTTTGAATGTTTTCTGAGATTTCTTTTGTTGTTGAGGTCAGTTTTATTTCATTGTGATCTGATATGATGCAGGAGGTTATTTGATTTTCCTTAATTTGTTGAGACTTTCTTTGTGTCCTAAAATATGAACTATTTTGGAGAAATTTACATGAGCTGCAGAAAAGAATGGGTATTGCGAGATGTTGGGCGAAATACTCTGTAGATATCAACCATTCCTATTTGTTCTAATGTGTGGAGTAGCTCTGAAGTTTCTTTGTTGATTTTTTGTGTGGATGACCTATCTATTGGTGACAGTGGGACACTCAGGTTTACCACTATCACTGTGTTATCATCTTCCTATGCTGTTAGGTCTATTAGAGTTTTGTTTTGTTTTGTTTTTTAATATAGAGGGTACTCCTGTGTTTGGTGCATATGTGTTTAGGATTGATATTTCCTTTTGATTAATTTTTCCCTTCATGACTATGAAGTGACCTTCATTGTCTCTTCTGATTGATTTTAATCTGTAATCTATTTTGTCAGATATGAGCATACCTACTTTTACCTGTTTATTGGGTCCATTTATTGCAAAACTTTTTTCACCCTTTGACTCTAAGCCAGTGTTTATTTTTTTCGGTTACATAAGTCTCTTGTAAGGAACATTTGGTTGGGTCTTGTTTTTTAACCAATTTGCTACTCTATGTCTTTTGATTGGGGCCTTGAGGCTATTTACATTCCGTGTTAATATTGAGAGGTGCCTGTTGTTTCC